AACGAAGTTCCAACATTCTTTTTTATATAAATGATCAGGAACCCCATTTTTAATGCAGCTATCTTAGCAGACCAGTAGACAAAAATAAGAAATAAGTTGGTCTCACGATGTGATTAAATTTTACATGCTACCTTAAAAGTATTCCAATCCAAGATGGAATGTAGTTTCTGCCTCATATAGGTGTAATCACTCTACAAAGGGAAATGTAACCTAGGTAGTAGACATATTAATACTAAGACACGCTGTCACGAGCGACAGTTGATCAGAAAGATGAGGCTAATTTCAAGGCAGGCGAGGCCTCTATCATATCACACAAATTTAATATTATATTACCCAATGGATCACAAAAGTGATAAGACAAAGGGGCACCTGTAAACAGCATCCAGTCTACTAGACTTGACGGTTAACTGGCCCAGGCGAAGAGGTGAATCCGAGACAAAGTGTTCTTCTAGGTAGACGTCGAGGCCGTCACGCGGAAAAACTGATAGTTGCTTTGGATCAGATTGTTGCTTTTGTAGTTGGTAATCTTCCCAGGTGGTAAGAAGACGAGGGAACACGGTGAGATTGGTTCGAGTCCGGTGGGGGGGATTAGCGGAATCGACGGCTTCAATATTAAGAACGTAGGAGGTAGAAGAACTGTGGATAGACAAGTCACTTGTATCATAACCTCCAGTATCATTTGCACCAAGACGCCAAAGTAATTCTGCTTCGCTTCGGTCAATCGACATTGATGGGCTCTCTTTAATACGGAGGATACCAGTATGTGACTCAAGCTGGAAATACTCTGATCCCAGGCTCTCCATCAGAAAGTAAGTAACCTTTCATAATGTAAATTAAAAAAACACTAGTTAAGGCGGTTAGTAAATTTAGAAGGTAGGATAATACGGCCCTGGGTTTTGTAACAGTCCTCTTCAGCTGTATAGTGCTGGTTTGACCTCGTCTTGGAAACTTGTTCGAGGTGAAAGGAAGATCTTGTTAAACGTATCTAGTTCTGCATGTTTTGTGATAGTATTCATGAAAACTTCAAATATCTGAGCTTTGATTTTGTACATTCCCAGACGTTTTGCCGACATCGTAGTCCGGCACCATTAGAGGCGCCATCATTAGCATAAAGTTACAACTTATCAAAGGTCTTGCTGAGTGCTAAGGATATCGCGTAATGCTGAAACATCCAGAAGTGTACCAACTTAAGTGGAAATTATCATAAATACTATGGCAAAAGATACAGAACTGAGTAAGTTTAATCCTTGCTGAGAAAACAAAAGCTACCAAAGGCCTCATAAATAGTGAATGTTTTTCTTATAATTGTATATGGGAAGACATTCCTGCGTCAATCATCATTAGGATTAAGAGAATGAAGTCTTAGGTTCCTTGATAAGTTAGGAAGCAAGCTTATTAAATTAATGTCGGAACACTAAGCGTCCCTTTTTACAGGCTAAACCACATAATTTCAGCATCCAAGAGCAGACCTAAATGAATCATAATGCAATAGTTAAATTGTATGCGAATAAGCGAATATAAATACTAAGATAAAACACGCAAAAAACATCTTGATAATGTCTTCACATCTGGCAAGACTCAAGAGCATGTCATACATACGACCCACATGCGACAAATCGAAATATATTTA